GCTTACTTTGTTAAAACCTTGACATTGAATTTTTTAATGTTACTTTTTATCCATATTTTTGCACAGAACCTTAATCATAAAAGAAATTTGTTATTGAAGGTTTCGCTGATTTTTTTTATATGCATGAAGTGTCTTTATGTACAAAACAAGAATTTAACATACACATTTAAAAGCTGTGAAATGATAAATAAGTTATTGGGTGTACTTTTTATCTTTATTTTGTATATAAAATTTATCATTTTGTATTTAATTATTATGTCAAAACTCTTAACCCTTCAAAAATTGAAACTAAATAAATTTTCCTGATAATTAAAAATAAGTGGCTAGTGCATCTTTAGATCTAATGTTGCATCAGAAAAAAATTAAATAAAGATTGTCATGAAGGAAAATATACCAAATTGAAGAAAAATAAATGTTTTAAGGAATTAACCAAAAATAATCAAGAACTTGTGCACTTACGATGTAAAGTTAACCATATAAAAACTATTTATCACCATGAAAAGATCTTCTTGAATAGATTTGAGTTTTCATATGATGGAAGCTTTTGTTGTGATCCATTTAATAAACACAAAATTAAAATAGAAAAATATTTAAAAATAAATTGACTTAATCAATTATTTCGAAGATAAAGGCTTATTTAATGTTTTATCATTTTGTTTCTTTTTAGAATCTGTCAGAGTAATCAGTGCGGCTGTTGTAAAGGAATTTGATTTAATACCTGGTCATAAGCTTTGTACAGAACGTTGTAAAATATTGTATTTAAAAAATAACAAAAAAAATTATGAAAGCAATTCGTGTAAAAATAAAGACAACGATTTTAATGAGATTCATATTTCAAAAGAAACTTTAATTTAAGGATTAATAGCCTTGGTTGTTCCCCTCTAAAACTAGTAGCCCATAAAGACAGGGTCAGCTATGCGAAAAGAAAGACTAACAAGATCCATACTGCCACCAAAAAGAAAATAGCAACTGTTGTAGAAGTTTCTCCTGATTTAATAAATGATGAACCAAAAATAAAAGAGCTATGTTGCCACAGTAAACAAGGCTTGGACTCACTAATAGAATTAATTAAAGCAAAGTTTGATATTTTTTCAAAATCAGAAAAACTTAATTACTAACTTTGGTTCCTGAGAGTTGGAACATTGACTATACACAAAACTATTTTTCTGCTTTCCAAAGATTAATAAAAACTGCAAGACATTTGAAAAATTCAAATGTCTTTTCAAAACAATTGCATGGCATAATGGCAGAACCGTCTAAAAAAAAGAGGGAAGACCTATTTTTAAAATAGGCCTTCCCTCTTTTTTAGTAAAAATTAAGTTCATGAGTTTTACCAATCAGATAAATACTCTCGAATGTGTCCTTTGAAAAAGCAGTATGTCTCAATCAAAGTCGATGGTAAAAGAACAACATTTTCAAAAAAGACTGCTATTACTTAATATAAAAGAACTTTATTTAGAGTTTGTTAAAATCACCTAAGATGTCAAGATTGGATTTTTTAAGTTTTGCGAACTTATACCAAGTGGTGTATTCCTGCTGATGGTGCTTCAGGTCTCCACTCATTATGCGTTTGTGAATACCACCAGATTGCCAAACTTTTAGCATTAAAATCCAGATATTTCAGACTATAAAAATCTTTTGACATTTGACAGTTGTATGTGACTTGTAGTGACATTTGACTTGTATGTGACATTTGACTTGTATGACAGACTTGTATGTGATGTTTGACAGTTGTATATGACAAATCAAGACCGCATGCTGCACAGTTGTGATAATTGCCCAGATACTGACACTTAAAAAACATATCTAACTGTTAAAAACTGTCTGTTAAAAACATGCGGCCGTGGCGCAGTGGTTAGAGTGCTTGCTTTATAAGCAGGAGATCCAGGTTTGAAACAAGTTTTGGTCATATTTCGCGTCATGATAAGGAAGGTGGCGTTAACTTTCTGGTTAAATGCACTTCTGCAGTGCTCTGTGATAAGACCGTTAGGACTTCTTGGGGCACCTAAATAACAAATTAAAAGATTAAAAAATTTTTTTTTGCTGGGTTCCAATTACGCATGTTCTATGCAAAATTTCATCTTTAAAAGTGTAATCAGCAACTGTTTGAAGCTTTGAACTATCAGCTCATGAAAAAGCTGAAATACTACATTTGTACAATAGTATATATAATAACAAAATTATATAGCAACATAGCAAAATTGTTATTAATTTGATCAATCCAAATTTTTTATTAAAGCAAATTTGAATGGTTCAATTTTTATATTGATTTTTTATAAAATAATATTTTTATTACATAGTAGATATTACATAATAAACTTGTGTATTGTGATGACAAATCAAATGACTCTAATCACTTGGTATAATCTGTAACCTAAATTCGAAGATGATAATCAAATGAATTGGGAAAAGCGGAATAGCGAATGCTCTGGGAAAAATTATACAGAATTATAGTCAGAATATAAAATAGTAAGGAAATAAGTGATATGAAAACAAATATGTGTTAAGCAGATAATAAGAATAAAACTAAAAGTCTTTATTTTCATTATTTAACTAATGTGCTACTTTTTCATGTGCTCTATTTACTATCTTATTTTAGAAACTAAATGTCACAGCTTTTATATGACAAAATATTCAATAACTAATTAATAAAATTCATGAAGAAAAACGTTCTTCTTATAATAAAAATGTTCTGTGCAAAAATATGCATGTTAAAAAGTAAATGGACAGGGTAAGGGAAGACAACTAAGGCTATTTAAAAACTGAGTTTACTTCAGTCTTAGTTTATAGTTTATTTCTAGTAATAATTATAATATACTTTTATATATATATTTTTTGCATTGCAGTAGATAATGAAAACAAAAGTACATCAATATCTATTTTTATTGTTTTTAATGTATTTTGTGCCAACTTCATTGCTCTGACTTAATGTCACTATCCCATGAGTACCCACAATTTTTTTTCTTAAATCACTTTAATAAAGTCTGATAAATCAGTAAAAAAAAAATTCTTTATGAAAATCCTTTGTTGATCCTAGGTTACTGGTGGTTTAAAGGGAAGGCACAATTTTTAAAGTTTTGCCCAGAGCCATTTTTAGGAATCCATTATTTTTTACTGAATCATATGTTATAAGCAAATTTTTAAATATTAGAAAGCCTACCATATATAGAAACAAAAAAGATGTCTTTTTATTTCTTAAGTTGCTTATTTTGTATATAGACCCATCAAAAATCAGTTTTTTATATCTGTAAACAATTTTTTTAGGTTTTTTAGGAAGCCATTATGAATAAAAAGTAACATTTAAAAATTCACTGTCAAGGTTTTATATAATTAAAGGTTGTATATAATAAAAAAAACTAGGTTTTTTGAATTTTTGTTTTTAAAATACAGAGCTTCAAAAGTATGAACAAAACATGTTTTTGCTAGCAATGTTTTAATTTTTGGAAAAATCGAAAATTTCAAATGGCAATATCTTATGAACCACAGAAGATTTTAAGCTGAAATTTTCATAAAATTATTGTAACATGATTCCACTCTCCACCTCTAAAAAATATTAAATTTAAAATAGGGAAAAACATCCTTTTTTTTTCGTTAAACTAATTAAATTTGTTTAAAAAAGTTAATATCAACTTTTTTAAACATTGTTAATGTCAGCTTTTTTTAACTTTGTGCCTACCCTTGGCAACAATTATCAAAAAATTTCAAACCCCTTCTGTCGGTATAAATAATGAACAGCCTTTAAGTCTAAATTAGTTTTTTCAGCGCATTATTGCCTTCCTGACTGATTCGGTAAGTTTTCATGGGTTTTAATGGGATTAAAAGCCAAATTATTACATCAAAATTTAATGTTATATTGTAATATAAATTGTGAAATTAATAACAAAAACATTTAAAGAATTTTTAGTTAAAAAAGAAAACCTGTGAATGATTTTTTTAAATTGGGAGTGTTTCTTATTTGTCTCACTATCTATTCAGTTATTACTGAAACTTTTAAATTTTTCAGACGCCTGATTGAAACTTTATAAATTTTTCTAAATTTAATTTAAAATTAGTTTTGCTAAAATTCTTTCTGATGTTTTTTTTCTTTTATTTATTTACATTTCATTGTTCATATAATAAAAAATAAATAAATTACATGGAAACGATTACATTATATAAAGAGGGTGTATTAAAACAGACTTGAGCTCAAAAAAGAATCTGATGGCTGGTATCACCGCAATCTTTCATAGAGTCCCTATAACAATAACATTAAAGCTAACATGTCTAAAACATTTATATATATATATATATATATATATATATATATATATATATATATATATATATATATATATATATATATATATATATATATATATATATATATATATATATATATATATATATATATATATATATATATATATATAAAAGACATTTTCAAAAAACAAATTTTTTTGAAAATGTCTACTGACACACCTGTTCCATATATTTAAAAACTACTGGGTTTAAAAAATTTTTGAATAAAAAATATTGTGAAGGGTGCGACAAGACCCTTAAACAGCAAACAGGTCCTTAATATTATCAAAAAAAAAATGTTTTTAAAAAGTATGTCATGTAGGATCTCAAATGAAATAAAGTTATATAAAAATTTCAAAAATATAAATTATTTTATAAATAAAGGAATTTAACAAGATTTTTTAATTATATCTTTTTTCTCTATGTTTTTTATAAATAAAATAATTTTTATTAAATTAATAAATAATTTAAGCCTAGGCTGCAAGAGAAGCTTACTAACAGCCTCCAATGAGATGTAGGTTTTGTGAGGCACTGACAATATATGGGCGCTCAGTTGCAGGTTGGAGCTAAAAGTGTTACAACTATTATATTTACATTTTTGGAATTAACATAGAAAATTAACTAATAAACAATAAAAAATATACTGTTAAATTTTGTAAAAATTTGTAACATTGTGTATTTTATTAGATTATTTACTTTATATATATTTTTTATTTATAAAGGTTTTCTCAGCCTTGGGAACAGAAACATCAAAACCATCATCAGCTGCTTCTTGCATAGCTGGTATAGCTGGAGCTGAGTTGCCTTATAATCTATGGCCTGATCTAATGAAAAATCTTTGTGATAATACAGAAGTCACTGAACCTAACTCAGATGCTTTAAAAGAAGCTACTTTAGAAGCAATTGGATATATTTGCCAGGATATTGATGCACAGTTTTTAACAAGTTATGCTCCACATATTCTTAAGTCAATTGTCAATAGGATGGGAAATGAAGAATTAAAGTAAGTGAAGTTTCACTTAAATTTTAAGTAAAAAAGTTAAATGTAAATGAGATTCAGAATTTGAAAAATTTATTCTAAAATGAAATCAGTAGTTGTTATGATTTGAACTAAGTTGTTATGATTGTTTCCTATATACATGGTTTGCGCAGCTATTTTACTTTTTTTTACTTTTTACCTTTTTATTTTAGCCTATTGCATTACTTTTCTAACATCTCTTACCTTTTCTTTTATACCATATATAAAAATTAGCTAGTTCTATATCAAATAAAAAATATTTTGAAAACAAAATATTAATTTGAATTTTTATTATACATATAAAGTAATCAAAAAAAAAATTGCTTAGTTTAACTAAACTTTAATTGCTTTTGTAGGTTTTATATGGGGCATAGCAATAGCATTAGTTTTTCTGGCTTTATATTGAATTTCCTTTTTGAAATATAAACTTTTAATCACATAATTATTTTAATAAAGAAAACTTATCAAGTTAAAATATATTATACAATCATAATTAAACCAATTTGAAACATTTTAAAATCTTTTTTAATATTGATTGTTTACAAATTGAGTCAATCTATTAAGTTCATCAATGCCAATGCTTGCTGATTAAAAACTAATATGCCTGCTTTCTAAATGCAAGTTGATATCTAATTCTGGAATGCCCAAGTCAAAATAATGAAAAAACTTTCAAAGCCTGCAGATAAATAGCAGTATTAAATAACTGATCAACAACTTCCAGTAATTCCTGTTTCACATGATCATTATGAGATTTTCACCAACTTAGGTTTTATAAGTTGAACTGTTATCATGGAGCATAAGCTTTTAAACTGGTTTTTTTTTGTAGCCGCAAAACTCATTTCTACTTGGTGTAGTTGAGGCGATTTACAAATGATTTGATTTTTTTTATTTGGAATAAGCATGCTTTTATTAGTGTATTATGTCCAAACAAGAGCTTTAAATGGTATAATTTTTTTTACTTTAGGTTTTTTCTATATTTAAAGAAACTTTTTTTTTCTATATAATTTTCAAAACCTTTTTACTACCCCTAATAGTGAATTTAAAGAACATCATTTTGGAGTCTTTAGATCACTTTCGTTCATAGAGTTAAAATGAATTTAGTTAAATTTTTTTAAAAAAGTGCCTTAATTTACTATAGATCCTAGTTCTAATTGGTTCTAACATATTAACTATATATAGTTGTCAAAATACTATATTGCTATCATTCAGACTGAGAAAGAGCTTATAATTAAGACAAATTGCCAATAAACAATTAGAACAGATATTATTAAACTGTGATGATTCTTTTAGTCTTTTCATAACTCACAGACTTGATCATTTAATGGAAATATGTCATAGTCAACAAAATATCATACAAATGCTATAATATTTTAAAATTGCCTTAACTATACCAAGTATCTATTACTTTATCATTAAATCTTTACCTCTAAATGGATCATTTTTATAAACTCTAGGTGATTGTTTCCATTCTGAAAGACAAGTTAGTAGCATAAATCATTCTTGCTATCTTCTCATCAATTGCTTTTTTCTGTGTTTTTTTTTTTAATATGGTATGAATCCAATATAGTTGACACCATCCTGTAGTAAGCAACTAGGGTTGAAATTTTACCAGGGCTGGGATTGGGTTTGATAAAATATAGCTGGGGGTAGGTTTGTGACCGGGGCTGCATAAATATTTATTCATCCTATAGTATTTTTATTCAAAATTCATGTTATATTTTGTATATACATGCATGTATAAACATCATTATGATCAACATGATCATCATAATCATCATTACCATGATCATCATTATCAGCATCATCATCAGGCTTTAGCCTTCTTCGTTTATGCTGTTTCTCTATTACAAACAATCAAAAGCATTTTTCACCATTTTATGCAGTTGCTTTATTAAACTGTAATCGCTTTTTTCATCTTTTTTACAAGAACATCTCTAAAGAACAAATGTCCTTTTATTATTGCAAGAAGCTAATGTAAAAAGATTCTGTCAAATGTTAAGCTCTGTTATTTTCAGTTTACTAAATCTTGTATCTTATTGCAGATATTAGGTTCTCAGTCTTCTCTGTTTAAAACTTAATGCCAGCGCACAAAAAAGCACTGGCAGAATGGTCATTTTTAAGTTAGCCTGCGTGATTTAAATGATTCTTTTTTTTTGCTATTTAAGTTAAAATCAAAGTAGCAAAAAAATTGCTTTGAATAAATACTAGATAAAATAATTAAAAAAAAACAATTGGTAAAATAAGCCATTTTTTATAAAAGTTAAAGAAAAAAAGTTTTGTTCCTATTTAAAATAAAATGGCTTTAGTTTTTTTGGAAAGCGCTTTTTTATGTGCCCGTCAAAGTTTTTGCGGGCGTGTCAGCAAGTGCAAAAAGATTTTAACTCGAAAACTCTGGCTAAACGGAGATGACTGGGTTCTACTAACTTTTGGAAAGTCTTCTTCAGTTTCATTAACTAAAGTAAGTCTAACATTTAGTCTCTTATTCATGGGTCTGATTTTTTACTTCTCCCTAGAGATTTGGAAAAAACTTTTCATCCAACTTGACTATCTAAAGGCCATATTCTTCCTGTCATACCAGTTAAACAGGTTAACCCATTGTTAAACATCTAAATCACTCTGGCTTCCAATGTTAAAGTTAATTTTCAATTAAACACTTCTACAGTTAGTGCTCCAGACAAGATTTCCTTCATAGTCTTAAGAATCTAGGGGGAAAATTTGGGCATTGGTACCTCCTTTCATGTTTTTTTCAAGTTTTTTCACGAAAAAAAAAAATTTTTTTCGTAGTAAAAAATGTTTAAAAAAAAAAGGTCAGGGTTCAGGTGCCCAAATAAGATTGGCGCTGTCAAAAACAGTCTAGAATAGCCGCTGGTCTTAAAAAAGTGTTCTTCATGATTCATTTCAATTTTTGCTCAACTATTAAAATTTGCTAAATAAGTGGTTCCAATTTTTAAAAACTCTAGAAAACAATTTGACCTCTTCAACTATCCTACAATTAGTCTTCATTCTGTAATTAATTTTGTTGTATAAAGTCTTAGAGATTATAAGTCATTTCTTTCTAACTGCAGTATTAAAGTTATTCTTGAAGGCCTACACTCTTCTTCATTTCAAATAACTTTAAGGGTACCACAAGGTTCTATCTTTGCTTCTATATATTTTTTTTATTTACAATAACGATCTTTATGAAAATTTTATGTCTAAAATGGCTCTATTTGCTGATGACTCAGCAAATACTCTTGTTTTGACAAAAAGTCTTCATTTTTTGTTTGCTTAGAAGATGCAGATGAAGACTAAAAGCACATTGTAAATGTAATTACACCTACTTTATTTGCTAAGCTTGAGCCACTCTTCTATTGTTGCAAGGTTGCATTTCTTTTTCTGCAAATACTACCATGGTCGATGCTCAAACAAGCTATCATCTCTATTACAATAAACAAAACGTTTTTGCTCAGCTTTTTATTCAACAAGTTGCATCCTCCTACTGTATCTATCCCTTCATGCTGTAAAAACTTTTATTAATCCAGTTTTTTTCCTTGCATATCAAAAAAAACCTTATAATTCTTACCCATCTTCATGTTTTCTTTTTTTATACAATCTACAATTTTTCAAGTCATTAGTTTTAAAAGTAACTCATAACTTAATAGTGGTTGTTTGCAACTTTTTTGAAAGTTAAAAAAAATTTGAGTTTAAAAATATATACCATTATTTAATAAGTAATAAATATAAATAGTAAGTATGACAAAAAAGACGATGAGAAACATTTTTTTTTTTTAATTAATTTTTTTTTAAATTAAGATAAATTTATAAAAAGGCAATATAAATGCTTTATTTAAATTCCGAACAAAGTAATTTAAAAAATTCAACAGCAAAACAAATGTTTTATTTAAATTCTAAATAAATAAATAAAAATAAAAATGGAATATACAAAGTTTAAAATTCTAAATAAAAAAATATTAAAATTAAAACAAAAGTTTTAATTAACTTCTAAATAAAGTATTACAAAAAACCAATGGATAAAAGAGCATTTTAATTAAATTCGAAAGGTGAACCTTTTATTTAAATAGTAAACGAAACAATTAAATTGAAAACAAAAACAAAAAATTTTTAAATAACTGTTCAAAAAAAAAATTTCAAAAAATCAAAGAAAGAGCGCGAATGTTATATTCAAATATAAATGAATAAAATACTTGAAGAAAATGAAGTAAAAATGACAAAAAATGAACTTTTTAATTAACTCCAATTTCCAATCTTTTATTTATATAAAAATAAAACTCTAAATTATAATAATAAAATCGGCTAATTTAATTTTTTATTTAAATTCCTAATAAAATGGTTAAATAAAGCATTCGTTTTAACAAGTTTTTAAGCATACGTTGACATTTGACATTTTGTTTTTCTGTCTATTTTATACTGAACTTTCCCATGTTTGTCAAGCTCTGGTTCTAAATTTTGGTGCTGAACAGTTTTAGGTCGGCAATTTTTTTGCAACCTTATTTTTCCTAACCCAGTGGGCACAGGATGTAAAAAGACGTCTTTTGAATTTTTTTGGCATCTTTTAAACGTTCAAAAGACGTCTTATTTAGATCCTATGTCCACTGAGAATTCTGAGGATTGTGTTTATATACAGGATTTCAAGGCGTGCGATATCACATCTTTATATGACCACGCAAAAAATAATATGTTTTAACGATTTGGCCACAAAGTTTTACGAGGTTTCTCTTGTTTTCGGTTTTTTTTTTATCTTTTCTAAATTTTTTATTTGCATTAAAGTTTGTAATAATATCCATATTACTTATAGTTCACAATATATTTTCACAAGTGCTTACTTATCTACTATTCTACTATATATTTTACTTTAAAACTATACCAATTCGTGCTACAATAAACATTTATTACAAATTTAATCAATTTTGCTTTTGTAATAATCTGGTTACTTTATACACATATATTTATATAAACATATACCTATACTACAAATATATATCCAA